TTGCCTTTGATTTCCCCTCCTAAATCAACAGCTTCTGTCCTCACATGCCCCCATTCCCACTCTTCTGAAAGAGAGACCAACCCACCACCCAACTGTCCTCACATCCTTTTTTTTTTAAAGCAGGGAAGCCAAGACTGCTCCCGGATCTGTCAGGGCTGTTGCCGACCCTCGGCATAAGTGTCCCAACTCACTCTGCCTCCTGGGCTCGGTTTGCCTGTGCATAGTGCAAGACTCTACTAGACCTAAAAAGAGTGAAGGATGCGATTATCTGAAAGAGGAAAAGCACCGTAAAGCACAGGCCTTCCCACCTTCCTGCGACAACAGGCAGCTCCCGCACGGCGGTCAGTGCCACTGAATGACATTGCCTCTAGGACAGCAGCCCTTCGCTGGGAAAAAACAAGATGCCAAGCACTGCCAAAAGAAAGGCCCCAAATAAGCAATTTGACTTGTGCCAAGGGAGCACGGACTCCCTCAATAGCCCCTGTAGTTACAGCTGGTTACGGGGCTCCAAAAGCAGGTTGGTGCAGCTCCAATCTCCCTGCTTGGTAACCAGGTGGTGGCTCATGTCTTTGATGCTCAGTGGTTACAAGATCATGATCTCCACAGGCAGTGACTCAAAGCTGATCAGGCCTCAAGGGTCCTTCAAGGTACCCCACACAACCAGACCTTCCCCATAGACAGTCAAGGTAGGCTGATACGGTCATCTGACATTTGTCCCCTGCTGCAGGTAGCCACCATGACCATTTCTCTTCCTCACGCAACAGGAGACCTCACGTGCCAAGGAAGGAGGCAAGGGGTGACAGTGCAACCTGAACACTGCATGCTGTTTCTACAGTCACAGCTATTTACAAGTCAACTCAATACCTCCAAAGCCTGAGTCCTCAAGAACTCATGTGCCTTTATTTTTTACTACAGATTTTCGCAGCTATATTTTATATCCGTTACAAGAGGGGGCACGGGCTAGTTTGCAAAAGTCTGTTCTAATATATGAATCAAACTCTTCACCTCCACCTTAGCCAGGAGGTGATACCAGTGCTGTAACTTATAACATGTCTCAGTGCCAGGCAAGTGTGAGAACAGGTCTTGGCAAACCATTACTAAGTCTGGAGAGACCTGATTGAACAACCTTAAGTAACAAATGTGACCGACTTGCCTGCTTTACTGCTTCTCTCCTTCTAGTATTTCAACTATAAAACTTTCTAACAACTTATTTATTGCTGGGAACAAAGATGCATCAGTCACTACAGAAGGATGTCCTTGCACAAGGTCTTCTCCTGTTGCGTAACAAATACCATCTCCTGCTCACACAACTCACAAGGATAAATGCTACTGGGGTATAACATACGCCCCCAGCAGCTCACATGAAGACACTCCAAGTCCACATCAGACTTTGGCAGTGGCACCCCAAAAGAGTGGGAAACTTCCTCTGCCAGCCACATCCTTCACATCTTGTTGGACTCCTAAGCCATTAACAACAGCTTTGGGTATTACGTCTGGGTACTTTAAGTCACTCTTGTGACAAAATGAAGTCCAAAGAGAGCAAAGAATCACTGAGGACTTCAGATCTGCACGACTGCTACCACCCCCTAAAGCAGACTCCACTAGGTTCCTTCAGAGGCCCTGCACTAGCAAGGAAGAGATGCTGACACTGGAGGGCAGGGGCTGGATGAACTCCACGGCCAGCGACGGGCTGTCCTGCACCAGGTAGCCCTGGTGGGCATGGGGCCAGCGCGGGGATGAAAGGCGGCCTTCATCGGGAGCACAAAGGGCAGCCTGTGGTGCAGTGAGGGCTGGAAGAGCACGGGCGGAGCAGCCCGGGGCGCTGCACTGCTCATGAGCGTTAAACAAACTTGTTTACAGAGAGGCCGGCCGGGCCGCCTGCGCCGCGAGGCTGCCTGCTCGCCCTTCCCTTCCATGATGAAGCAAGGCAGGAAATTTCCTCTTCTAATGGGCTGAAATACAGAAAAAAAAATCCACTCTGCACCAAAACACCTGGATGGGGACAGGAACTCTTCACAGCAAAGCAAACCGCCCTACTAACACGCTCGGTCCTTGATGTCCTACTAGAGACATCTGCTACTTACTAGGAGGTAGCAGAGAAGAACAAGCTTTGAGGCCCTTGGACTTCTGCAAGGCAAATGAGAGAAAGAAGAGCCTCTCCCATGCCCAAAAAAAGGGACAGGAACAACGAATATTGCTCAGGAGCACAGCGATACACGGGGGAGCACCAGGTCAACGCAAACCAGGGCTGCAAAGCCCAGGCCTACAGCAAATGTAAGCAAAGCTGCCAGGGCTCCGAGAGTGAGCACATGCCCAGCATAGGGAATTTCAGATAATCCGAAGGAGGTTTTTGCTCCAAGAGGAAGCAGACCACAGCTTCTCCAGAAACGACTCCCTCTCTGCATGGGAAGTGGAGCATTAAGGAAAATCCTTACCTGGTTGGGGGAAGAGCAGTGCCATGGGTGCTGCAAGAGCAGGCTGCACACTGATATTGTGTGCTTAGGTGAGTGATGACCCATTATACCAAAAATAAATAAATAAAAATCAAAGCTCAGTGTCTGAGAAAGAAAACACCCACTTCTAAGGGCCCATTTCATAGGTACTTTAAAGGTTCCCCAGCAAGACTGTGTCTTGAAAGGGGAGCGTGGGAGGGGAGCACAGTAACGCTGTGTGTGTGCCTGTGGACGTTGCTGCTGGGCGCTGCAATGAATGAATTCCGCTGCTCGTGTGAGAATTCCTTCAGGGAGGGAACGCTTCCTTGGCAAGTCAGCTGGCTGGCCGGGACCGTCCTGCGAGGTGCTATGACCAAGCCGCGAGGGACCTGCGGGCCAGCCTTGCTCCACGGCCTCAAAGCCAGGGCAGGGATTTAGGGAAAACCTTCTGCTGGTGCGAGCCATCCATTCGTGCCTTACTAGCGCTTAAAGAATGAGGCTTTGAAGGAAGTTGGTTTTTGGCCCTGACATTCAGAGCCTACTGTGGAGCAGGGTTAGGAGCTGGTTCCCCCTCACCTGTAGAGCCCCGGGCAGACCAGACAATTTTGCTGCTCACTGGGCTCGCCTCGAGCCAACGTAACCTCACTACAGCGTGAGCAGGGAAGACTGAAATCAGCCACAACTGTCCTAAAAATCTGCTTGATGGAGCAGACATCTCATGCTAAGCATCCCATCTCCTCACTCCCATCATACACACAACACCCCAGCGCCCAAGTCTGACCAAAGCACCTTCCCAGGCTGCCGATTGCCTCTGCGGTCCTATTCCTACACGGAAACACAGACAGTTTGGATGTACAACTTGGCTTTTGATCGAGCTAAAGGCTTTCCTAGGTGTTTCCTTATTTTTTCCTCAAGCCCCTTTCTGTCTTGCAGTTGTTTTGCTGTCACAAGAAGCAGGGGAGGAAGCACCGAGAGCCTTTCAGCCCTTCCCGCGGTTGTAGCTTGTTCCTGGAAACACGGACAGGCAGCCTGTCCCATCAACTGCAGGGACAGGTCTCCCTCCTCGCTGTCACCTACGGGCACCGATGCTGCCAGAGGTGCTACGGCTCTTAGTTCAGGAAAAATTGCCAAGTATAACATTTTCCTAACAGATACACAGTCCCAAGATGGGAATATACTCAAGGCCACCCATGCTCCAAAGCTCTACTTACACCTCTCAATTACAGTAATATCTACTTAAGACATTTATAGGGGAGGGAGGGGAAGATGGAGGCACACAAGGTAAGGAGGCAGAGGACCCAAAGACCTGCCCGCTTTCAGCCATGAGGTGCAAGCCCCGACCCTTACCTGCTAGCACGGCGGGGAGCAGGACACCGCACAGCGCGAGCAGCAGCGGGCGAAGGGCTCCACGGCCAGGCATGGCTCGCTGCAGGCACGGCGGCGGCAGGAGCTCTTAAAAACTCTTCTAAGTATTAAGCAACTTGGAAATTTCACTAGTATAATCAAAACTTTGTCCAGTCAGGTCAAAAAAAAGAGAAAAAAAAAGTAAAAAGACAAAAATCCCTTTGCCACTGCAAGGAGGTAGAGCGAGCGCGGAGGCCGGCAGTGGCGCTCCCGCCTCATGAACCTCCTCCCGTGCGGCTCCACCCCTGCAGCCTCTGCCCAAAACCCACATGCAGCAGAGCCGCCAGGCCCCGCGAGCACCAGCCCTTCCCCGGGGGCTTGGGGATGCGCCTGGAACTCCTGCCCTTGGGAAGGCTGTGCCTGGTGCGGGCAGCTCGGGGCTTCGGTGGAGGGCACAGGGGGAACGAGGGCCTCAATCCTTACGGTCAAACGGCTCTGAAACGGAGCCAGAGCCGCTCTGGACCAAGGAAGAGCTCGTGGCGGGGAAACCCAGGGGTGGTTGGGAATCACAGCAGCACTGAGGAGAGCGTCACATCTATAGAAGAAACAGGGACATTCAGCACAAATAAATTAGGCTTTTAAGGTGACATAAGGGTGAAATACTTTCCATTTTCTATTCAGAAGAAGAATTTGCAATTAAAAGGCACCAACATCCCCAATGCCAGTTTTTTAAGTTCAGAAAACACGGCATAAGTAGTTTTGTCTTAAATTTCAGATTTGCTTTCTAGTAAGAGATACGGTTTTGGGCTTTCTCCACAAGGCAGCCAGGGACAGCTCAGATGTCCCCTGCAGCCTGTCCCTTAACCAAACCCTTTGCAAAAAGCACTTGTAAAAGCACCGAACGCCACCACTGCTATGAAACAGAGTTGGGAAGCGACTGCTGGAACACACTCTGCTCTCAGCAGATCCAACATCATCTTTCCAACCTCAGCTGCAGCCACATTAGCTCCCCAGCTTGGGCCCTGCCTCAAAAGCAGACCAGTCTAGCATAGATAAACACAGGCTGCAGGTGTAAAGCAGCAGCTGCTCTTTTTCCATTCCTCTTCATCCAAACAACCTTCGCTACCCCTAACATCATCTGCCTTTGCCAAGGAGAGGGCAACAGGGCCAGCACCTTTGCAAACAGTCTGAAAACACCAGCACATCACCTCTGAGCTTAAGACAAAGTCAGAATATTAAAATATTTAACGACAAGATCGTCCCCACCAGGCCGTTATGGATGGAATGGCTCCCAAAAGCTGGGCAGAGTCCCTTGGGATCGATCTATGCATGCCTGTTTTCCTTGCCTGTATTTTCTACCTTCTCATTTAGAAAGGGTCAAACTGCTCTGTCCCTCCTCCCCAGCTGAGCTGCATAGCACCAGGCTTTTGCTTTCTTCTTACGCAGCAAAACGTTCCAAAAACAGGTCGTAGAAATTAGATGGCACCATCAAAAATCAGAAAGAACCTATAAGCAAGATACTTACACACCAACAAATTCAGGTGTTAAAAACCAAGTTAAGGTTTCAATGTAAGCATGTACTTTTCTCCCCAGGACAGCAGCTAAATGTAATGCCAAACTACTGCATTGGTTAGGTACTACTGACTCGGTACTTGTGGACATGGGATGGGAAAGAGGACATCTATCAACTTGCATTGGGATTTTCCATACAGAAAAACAGAAAACAAATATAGGCAAAAAAGGGAAACAGGATTTTGTCTCTGTGGTCACTGCAGCAGAGGGAGAGATAAACCTTGCATTTAGGGACAGGAATGGAGTGGGTGGGTGGTTACTGACTGCTGGTTGCTTACTACTGGCCAAGTGTGTTTTTAATGACAGAAAACCGGCCACAGCTTGATCTCTCCTGTACAAACAGCCCAAGTGTGAATGCACATGCTTCTCTACACAGAGAAGGGGGGAAGAAATCAAAGCTTTCTTGTCAAAATTTTCCAATCTCAACTTACCGGTGTTTATTTGAGCTCTAAAATTATCAAGTAGAAAAAAGCCCGCCGGTATTCCTCACCAGGGAAGGAATAGAGCAGCGGTTGTTGTTCCACGTCCTGTGTATTCGCTTGTTGTTTCGTGATGAAGAGTGGCGAGAGTCGAGTTTGGGGGCGCTTTTAGTGCCAGGACTTATCTCAAAACTCAGCTTCGACAAAAGCAAGCAGAAAAGTTGCTCTCAGATATAATACAACCAGGTTTTATTTAAGTTCTCTCTTTCCCCCCACCCCCCCCACACTGGCAAAAGTTCAGAGGGAGTTTAGTTTTGTAAACATTTTAACTACCCCTCTTCCCCCTTTTATGAATTTACAAAGCAAAGGAGACAGGGAGACCAGATTTCCAACAGTTCCAAGTCTCTCCATGCTATTCGATCCAAAAACTATATACAAGTCTGCAGCAGTCTCTGTATAGTTACTGTACATGTTTGGGGGCAGGGGGAAGAGAGAGGAGGAGGGGAAGGTGACCCCAAAAAAATAATGAATAAACCAAACGAAATAAAATTCAAAGCCAAACTGCTCTTTAGCAACTCGAACTGTTTTCTTTAGGCAGTGATGACAGAGAAAGACAGACATCTTCATACACCTCCATCAAAACTGTAGCTCATCTCCCTCGGCAGGTTAGACCCCTCTGGGGATGGGAGATGGGACCAGGGGGTTGAAAGTAAGTGCATTTGGCAGTTTTAGTTTCCTTTCTTTTGAGGTGCGTGAGGAGTAGGTGACAGGGGAGGATGGCGTGAGATCTTTTGGTGAGAGAGTCATGACTCCATAAATACTTAAACATTACGGATCCACGTGAAGGCGTGTGAAGTAATTTAAGGTGTAGAAGATAAGCAGGGCTGTCATTGCACATAGCTTCACCCTCCAGTCTCTTTCCACCACCAAAGGGCACCTCCGTCCTTTAGTCTAAGCTGTTGTTGGAAATGACAATGCGCCACGAGCACTCGGGTACATTTCCAAAAGCCAGTGTTCACCCTCACCAAAGACTAAGATCCACACGGAAAGATCCTACTGTCTCTTAAACGAGACAAATTTGCAGGAAGAATAGCTCAAAATAAACTGGTCCTAACCCTCAGAAGGTAGCATTGAAGGGATAAATCCAACCTGAAAGAAGAAATGCCACCCGCCTTCTCCCAGAAGTCCCTGCTTCTCCAAGGAGTGGAGTACGCTGATGGGAAACTCTACCAGCTTCAGCATCACCACCTAACGAAGACAGACTCGAGCTTTCCCTCCAAAAATAATGTGCTGAGAAGGGCTGGCAGGGGGTGTGCAACTTCAAACCAACCCAAGCTAAACTGCGCCCGCCACCACCCCTCTCCTGCTGTTGCCAGTTCTAAGGTTAGCTTATGAATGCAACTCCTGGCCTGGGAGAGCACCTCTTGCCCTGATGGAGCGCAGAAGTCAGTATCTGTGTGGCGTTTTGGTTTTGACCAACATCTGTTAACCACAAACTCTCTCCCTCTCTCTCCGTGACTGTACGTGTTGGATGTGGTAAGATTAACCAGAAGAGGGAAGCAACTGTTTGCAGAATCCCAATTGAATTTTTCCAGGTATGTCAGCAGAAGAAATCACAGCACAGTGAAAGCTTGCTGCCCAAATCAGCCTTGTTGTGAACAAATCCTATCTCCCACCCACCCAGGACTTGGGACAGTGTCCACACGTCTGTAGGCTGATGGTAAGAACAACGCCTGTGCAGTCCTGGGCAGAAGGGGGTTTTGCTGGGGCCAGAGGAAGCAGCCTGAGATGATTGATTCTGTGATTCACTGCAAGGCGAAGAAGAACGCATGGTGGAGAGGACTGTGTCCAAGACGGAGAATCCATGGTTAACAGATGCAGGAAAAGCCAGTTGATTTGCACATGCTCAGTAGTCTTCCAAAGTCTCTATTTCTCCCATATTGAGCCGCTCTGATGAGGCATTCACTGAAAACCCTATAAAACAAAAACAAATCGTGTTAAATTTGTTTAAAGTTACAATTTGTTTAAAATTACAATTTGTTTAAATTTACGTATGTACCTGTTTAGGCAGCAGCTGTTCAAGTAACACATCAAACAAAAACTGATAAGGAAATTTATTAAGGCTAGAATTACCCAAACTGAAGTTTAACACAAATTAAACATGACTAATCACACATTTAAGTATCACTTGGTCTTTAAAGACTGATCAGCAGAAATCTCCTTTCAACTCTAAAGGCATCTACAGAGCTAACTGGGCACAGTGGAGACTGGCAGAGTAACATCTTGGAAGTGCCCATCAACTGCACTTAGGTGGTTCCTGAAGCCAAACCAGCTGCTTTTTGAACTCAGACTCCCAGTGTCAGCCACACTCAATGCTTCTGGAGGCATGATTCGCTCCAGCTAGAGCTTAGTTTATGCACTTAAGAAGTTTAGTGGAAAATCTACATGTTTCCATGCTTTTTAAAGTCTCCTAAAACTGCTCAGGGCACAACGTGAGAAGATACAATCCTGCACGGAGCTGCCTAGATGGCTGATAAGCTTCTAGGGAACATCTTACCTGTACATTGCTACCAGAAACGATACGCATGAAAAACGAGCAACAAAAACCCAACACATCTTTTGCAAAAAGGAAAAATTTTAGTATTATATCAAATGCAACTTGTGAGGGAATTTTTATTGTTGTACCAACTCGATATGAAGCATGCGAAAGGAAAGCTCTTTTCTGTGGATGGTGGCTAAACCCAGCGCTGGGGTATCGCTGTGCTGAGAGGGCTCCGTGGGCTCGTTCTGCGTGAGGGAACAAGCCCCTCTCCACAGCCGCTACCTTCTCCGGACACAACACGCGGCTCCGCGCAGGAGGCTGAGGGAAACTCTCCCGGCTCCCTCTGGCGGCACCGTGTTACAGAAGAGGCCGTTTAACAGACATCCCTGAACTACTCAAGTTTGCAGATGATCAAGGTATAGCTCTCTGCATGAGACGAATTTCAAATAAACAAATATATCCTTTTAACTAACAACTATATATCTAGCAAAAAAGCAGGTGATCACTGCAGATAGAGCTTTTTATGGGCAAAATGTAAGATGT